TTATAGAGCAAGGAAACGGTTGACAGAAGACTTGAAAAGTTGAAGGTTGTATGAGTCAGGAAAACATGAAGATGGGAGAGAGTTCCAAAGGATTGAAGTGCGGGTAAAAAAACTAGATGAACAAAACTTTTTAGAGCATGCAGGGACAGATACAGTAAACGAATGAGACTTAGCTGAATGACGAGTAAAACGAGAATGAATTTTAGTTGATGGAATTAGAGATGATAACTTCTTTGAGCAGTGACCATGATAGTATTTGTAGAAAAGAGAAAGAGATGCAACTTTACGACGATGGGAAAGTGGTTCAAGTTTAGCAGATAGTCCAGGTCCAACAACATTTACAATGCGATTTTGAACCTTGTCAAGAAGAGAAAGTAAATCGTTAGAAGAACCAGCCCAAATATGACAACAATATTCCATACAGGGACGAATAAGAGATTTGTAGAGGTAGAAAATGGAATCAGAAGTAAGGAAATGGCGAGCACGATAAAGAGAAGCAACCTTAGCAGAAGCTAATTTAGCAATCGATTGTATATATGGTTTCCATAAAAGGTCAGTAGTGAGCGATAATCCAAGAAGACGTAAAGAGGAGGACTCAGTAAGAGGATTGCCATTCATTAATATAGGAATGTTTACCATATTATGGTAGTTATTTGCAGTAAGCAACTGGGTTTTTTTAGAGTTGAAATTCACAAGCCACTGTGAACCCCAATCTATTACTGAAGTGAGATCGGATTCAAGATCAGCTGCTTGTTCTAGGCGATCGAAAAGAGAAGACTTTTTGTCAAGACAGGAGTATAAAGTTGAGTCATCAGCAAAAAGAGCTACTTTAGATGAAAGGTTGTCAGGAAGATCGTTTATGTAGATAAGAAACAAAACAGGGCCCAGGATGGAACTTTAGGGAACCCCAGAAGTTACTGGAAATAATGAAGAGTGTTGGCCTTCAAGGATGACTTTAATAAACCGGTTAGAAAGAAATGATTTGATAATCTCAAAAACTTTCCCAGAAACACCATATGAAGCAAGCTTATGGAGAAGACCAGCATGCCAAACTTTGTCAAAAGCTTTAGATATGTCGAGAGCAATAGCCCTAGCCTCACCGCCTCCATCTAATGCACGATAAAATCTTTCAGTTACAACAGTTAGCAAGTCGGCCGTAGAGCGAGAGGATCGAAAACCGTATTGATTGTCTGACAGTAGTTATTTGACTCAAGATGAGATGTGAGGAATTTGTTGATCAAAGACTCAAAGACCTTGCTGATAACAGAAAGAAGACTGGTCGGACGATAATTGGAGGGGTCAGAATTTTCTCCAGAGTTTTTGAATATTGGAACTACAGATGCCATTTTCCAACAAAGCAGGAAAATAAGACTCAGTCAAACACTTGTAAAATAGTTTAGAGAGAATTGAAGAAAGTTCTGGAGAACAATTCTGCAAGACTGTGACAGGAATGTTGTCTGGACCACAAGCTGTAGACGAGTTTAATTGAGATATGAATTTAGCAACAGAAGCCGGAGTGATTTGAATGTCTAACAATGGGTCAACCTGTTTGACTGGAATGGAAGAAAGAGAATGTCCATAAGATTCAAGAGTGGAATTAGAAGAAAAGTTCTTTGCAAATAGTTCTGCCTTATCCCTGGGAGAGGTAATAAGATCAGTCCCATGAATGAGAGATGGAATGTTAGATCTACCCTTGTTAATAATGCTGTTGAAGATTTTCCAAAAGTCTTTAGAGCCTAACTTCTGCGATAAGATGCGAGATTTAGTGAACTGAGAATAATGGAGTTTAGCATCAGAAAGCACCTTTTTACATCAATTTCTTGCAATAATAAATAGCCGTTTGTTCTCAAGAGAGTTGTTCTTTTGAAAAAGATAAAAAAAATGATTACGATTGGATATAGCAGCCGCACAAGAAGGAGAAAACCATGGAGTAGAATGAGGCTTGACTTGAAACCGACGCGAAGGAATAAAAGCTTCCATTCCAGCCTGAATCCAGGAGGTTACGTAGGAGGCTCATTTGTCAGCTAAGAGAGAAAAAACATCAGCCCAAGGACCATCACGAAGAAAATCACGAAAGGAATCCCAGTCAGCTTTAGGGTAGTAGTAGGTGGTGCGATGATAAGATGAGCCCAAAAAAGAAGTACGAGAAGAAAGTTTTATAGAGATCATTGAATGGTCTGAACCACCTAAGGGAGAAAAGGGGGAAACTGAACATAAGCTAGGGTTAGAGACAAGACATAAGTCAAGGAGTGAAGATAAATGATTAGAGTTGTCAGGAAAACGAGTCACAAAGTTAACTATCTGTGTAAGAGATTGAGAAACGCAGAAGTTAAATGCTTTAGTGCCAGCAGGATCAGTGGTGTTAGAGCCAAGCCATTCAGTGTGATGGGCATTAAAATTACCAGGAACAACAATATTGGTGACAACAATAAAGTGACATCAATAAATTGTGATAATTACAACAAATTGTGGTTAATTTCGTAGTTAAAAGATAAATAACAATAAATAATTTAACAATTAGGGGAAGTAAGGGCATAACCGCATATGGAGGCACAACCGTTTTTCAACATTTTCCTTTGAAAAATGTTATTTAATATGGCAAAAAAAAAACAGCGTGCGTCAGTAAAACAGTTTCGCTTAGGGAAAGTGGAGGCATAACAGCCCCCGTAACGTTTAAATTAAAGAAATATGAAAATTAAAGCGACATGAGTTTTTTTTAACCATAAAACTTTGCCATAAACATTTATGTTTTTAAGTCATAAAAGATTTTTACTTAAAATTTATATAAAATGAAGTTTATCTTTTTAAAATATATTCTTCATTCACGTTTGCATAGGTATAAAAGAATCTTTTATATCTTAAATGCAGGACCGACGACATCAGAGAGGTCAGGGGGGCACTAATCCTGCACTTTTATTTTTCAGGACCTTTTTTTTTTTTTAGAAATTGATTTAAAAAATTGACAATTTTTTTAGAAATAAGGAAGTATACCCCTCACTTTGAAACCCCTGTCGTCAGCCCTGAAATGATGAAATGTCTTTTTAATTTTTAAAAGACGCGAATGATTGTACCTCCTTCTTTTTATATTCCGTTGTTTTACCACTTGTACTTTTATATTAAACTTGTACGCCACCAGCGTATGTCGGTGGCGGCTTCGTAAATGAATCGTGAACTGCAGGTTGTTGGTATAACATAACTCCGAAATTCCCTAAAAGAGTCTAACTCGTAATATTGAAATGTTTATTTAAAATTTTCAAATATTAAAAAAATAGATTTAATATTATATTTGTAAAATACAAATTGTGTTTATTTTATATTCGTTTGAAAATAATATTCGTTTAACAAATAAAGTTCGCTAAACAAATAATATTCTATAAACAAATAATGTTCGTTGAACAAATAATAATTTGTTTAGCGAATAAAAGTAAACCAATATATATTCGTTCCCGTTTATTTGTTCGACGAATATATATTTGTTAAACGGTTTTTATTTATTAAACGAATATTGGTTTACGAAAACATTCGTATCCTACGAATAATTTGAAATATTAGTTTTTACCCATATTGTTTAGCGAATAATTTAACCGAATATTCTCTAACGATTATTTACATCGATATCGATTATATACATCGATAAGTAAATCGGTATTTGATAAACGAATAACCGTCGCGCTCTCGTCTTAACTAATCCCTTAAAATTAGTTTTGTAAAGGTGAGTGTCCACTCATCCGTTTTTCTACGGGAAAGGGAAAGGGAACGGAAAAATTATCACGTGAGTATGCGCAGTTTACTTTCGGACAAATAAAAACTTTTGTTACGCATGCTCACGTGATTATTTTTTCCGTTCCCGTTAAAAAAAAGGATGAGTGGAAACTCGCCTTAACGCGCATCTATAGAAAAAGGCAACCGCATAATTACCGTATACATTCTCCTTAAAGTTAAAGTTCAGGTTGTTATGAAGATATCATTTTTATAAGTTTGAAGATTTTTATGCTATATCTATTTATAGAAACTTCTGAAATCTGATGTATTTTTATACATAACTATTGTTATAACTATTTGATGTAACTCTCAACAGATAATAATACAAAAGCGTTCACAACGTAGTTAACATGGATTTTTTATTAAAGCAGGTCGGAGCCATCAAAATAACTGTTGCCGAATATTCGGTATTCGGTAAGATCACTATTTGTTACATCTTTAGTATAAACATACACAACTTTGGGGTTTGCTTTATGCATAAAAATTACCTCACCATCAACAAAAACGTTCATAACCTTTCACTTCAAAGTTTTTGAAAAAAATTACAATAATCATAAATATATTTATACTTTTTGCTTTAAATATACAGAACCTAATTCAAAAGTTTCATAGACAAAAAAAAAATTAAAACAAATTAAAACTAATAATTCAATATATTTAACAATAATAAGAGTGTTTTATATTTTGATTGTAACTTATGAAAATTAGATAATTGTTATTTAGCAAATATTTACGTTTGTTTCCAAATAAATTAAAGCACTTAAATTATTTTTTTTTAATTGTTAGGTCCAAAAAAAAAAACTGTAAATGTAAATGGTATTAATAGTATACGAACAGATGTCTTGCAAAATTAGTTGCTCAAATCTGTTGTACAACCGTCTTGTTTAAACGTGTTCAAACGTGTTGTTCAAACGTCTTGTTCTAGCGTGTTGTTCAAATGTATTATTCAAATTTGTCATTCAAACATGTTCTTCAAACGTGTTCTTCAAAAAATATATTAATGGTTGGTATATAAAAACTAATATTTAAAAATGTTATCAAGTTTGATCTATTTAAAAAGTATACATTTAGGCATAGATACCTTGCTTTGTTAAATTCCAGATGTTAATAACACTTGTATATTGATTATTTAAGAACATACTATATTATTTATATAAGAATATTTTACCGCAACATAGAACAATGTATTTTTAAATGAAGAATTCGTATTTAAAAGAATGACTGAAACAGTAAATTTTTTAGGTTTTGTAGCAGTTAGTAAATCCATTATTAAAAAAAACATTGTTAGCAATGCAAAATTGATCGTCTTCTTTACAGTAAAATGCCTCACTTTTTACAGTGAACGAAACTTCAACACTTTTGTCCAAACGAATACCTCTGTTACCTTCCCCGCATCGTCGAATACCGTGAAGATTTTTATCTGTGTTCCAGGTATACCATTTCTCAAGAACACGTGATCCAATTATAAAATTTACTCCTTTTGTTTTAAAACCTTTTACAGTAGATGGGCCGCAACTGAACGCTAAAAAATGTATGCAAACGCTGCCGAGGTATTCAAATGATATAAATTGGAGAGGACTTCTGTTAACCTAAAAAAAAGCATATATATTACAGACTACAAATTCATACTAATATTTAGGTTTAGAAATAATACAATATATTTCAGGCCCTTATCAAGAAAATTTTTAGGGAGGAGGGATCGTTTTTGAAAAAAACGGACAGTTCAGAATAGCAAATAAAACTCTGTCTCAATAAAACATGCGTGAAACGATGAAAACCTTGTAAAAAAAAGTGTTTTAAATACATCGACAACCCACTCCCACCTCCTCCTTAACGGTACGGGTATCTATTTAATTTAAGTACTAAATATTAGGTCAATAATATAATAATTTTGATTAAATTTAAAAAAATTCACAAACCTTCAAAACATCATACTTATATTGAAAACCCTTTTTATACTTATTGATATTAAGAATACTTTCTTGCCATTCTGAACTCCAATCTTTGGTGCACATTTTTACAGTTGCTGGTAATGATGCTTCAATTTGAATTCTGGCATTGTTGATGCATTGAAACGGTTTATCTGTTTTTTTTGATTCAATTGATGTAATTAAATTATAAGCCGATTTTCCTATAACGAGTACGGACGATACACCCCCAAAAATATCTAAGTTCACAATTTCTCTTTTTCCCACAGCTCGTACGTTATGTGGTGGACTTTGCGTGGTGTTTGATAAACTCGCCACACCAATTGTTGCTAGCACCACCAGAAACTCTATTAGGACCATGTTCAACAAAGTATAAGGAATAAATAAATTAGAAAAGCATTCTTACTTTTATATTTAAAAACTAATTGATATTATCAACCGCAAAATTATAAAGACATTGTTTTGAACTATTTCAAGATAATATAATTGCAAATTTAGCCATTTGGTTGTTGTTGTTTATTTTTAATTACTTTAAGCAAAAAACCAAAGTAATTAAATAGTCCTTCTCGTTTACCAATAGATAATTTAAAAATAATCCAAATATATTTACATTCGAATAGTTTTACATAAGTGTCTTGTAATGAATAATAATTTTCAAATTTATAATGTGTAAGCTTAAATACTCAAGTGTAACAAATTTTTTCGATAAAGAAAATTAAAATAACATAATAAAATAACAAGTAATAGTAAATAACAAGTTTTTAAAGATTCATAATAAAATATAACCAAAAAATAACAAGTAATAGTAAATAACAAGTTTTTAAAGATTCATAATAAAATATAACCAAAAAATCTGAAAAAATATTCTGATACTAACTTTCATTTTTTGTTGATATTTTGTGCTTGTACTGATGAGTTGTCTAGTTAAAGAAAAACAAAAAAGTTCTTGGCCTTCTATCTTTGGCCCTTTACTTTTTTAAACTTACGTTAACAATCTCCCTAAAATTCTTACATCTAAGGTGGCATTGTTCGCTGATGATACTACCATTTATTCTTGTCTTGATTAGAAGCCAACACTCTCAGATTGAGTGCTGTAAGAAGTCTATATATGCTAAAAAAAGCAGTAAAAATTATTTACCCATTACATATAAACATGAATTAAATAGAAAATTTTTTTATGTCCGAAAACTATTTGAAATAGTTTTCGGACATAAAAAAATTTGAAATTATTTCAACGCAAAACGATGGCTAGTAAAAAGTGTTTTGCACGAACATGATTTTTTTTGTTATGAAAAGCACTGGTGAAAAAACGGCATAGTCACCTTTAAAACGTTTTGAAAAAGTATATATATTGATCATTTATAAAAGTCTTTGTATAAAGTTAAGCAAAAAATTTTTAATAAAAGTTACAAAAGTTTTATTATAAATTTTAGATAAATTAATTAAGAAATTCTTTTTCTAATTTTTTTTTTACACTTTATTGCTTATTTTGAGGCTTAATGTTGTCCATGACTACAATACAAATTTGGCCAGCAAGTTCATAAAATTTGTTTTTAAGTGATTTTTACATTTGTGTACCAGATTCTTAAATTTGATAAATTAGGAGGTATGGAGATGATTTAACTTTGATTGTTTTTTTCGATTCGATTTTTGCTTTTGCTTTGGTAATAGCTTTGTCAACTGTTGATTTGATTGATAAAGATAGATCGCAGCTCTTTGGCTAACTTTGTTGCGTTAATGAATTTAACACAGTTATGTCGTCGACAAATGACAAAAAACAAAGGCTGATTAAGAAGGCCAAGTATACTCAATTTGTCGTTCTTTTTTTTTTTTTTGTATCGTATTAGTTCCTTGAAACTTGCTTGTTCTGATTCTGTTCGGTCCTCCTTTGGGTGAACATTTTTGTAAGCTGGCACTATGTGATGACGCGCCTTTGATATTATGTTTAACTAATTGGTAGATTCTTTTAAGATTACTTGAATTATGCTTGATTTACGGGTATCACTATAATTTAGTAAATTAACATTTTAAGGATGAAAACAAATTACTTTGACAATCATGTTTTTATTGATTCCAACTGCGTTAATAAAAGTCAATGAGTGTTTTTTTATTTTCTATATTATGTTGGCCCTCTTGAATATCAATCCCAGAAGCAATTTGACTCACATAATTGACGCTCTTTTTTGCTCGGCCACCGTTTGATTGAGTAAAATATTTTATTTGCGTTTGTTGTTTTATTGTTAAAGAGAAATGAAAAATTAACTTTCTTGTCTGATGATGATGTTGCTACAGTTTTACCGCATTTAGATTGTAGCTTACTAATCAATTTTAATAATAAAATTAATCAAAATTGACTCTTTCTCTTAAATACATGATTTCAATAAGAACTGTGACTTCGATATGCAGTCGATTTTTTCCATTTTTGTGTTTCCAAGACTAAAACCAACGAACTCATATTCATCAGATGATGAATGCCATAGCTCATTGTTTATTTACTTTCTTATATGCTATACTTCATTACTTATGATAAGAGGGGGGTGTTTAAATTTAAATTATATTGATCTCGCAACAAAACTAAAGTGTATGGAGAGAATAAAGAAACGGCTTTTTAAGAATACATTTTTGAAAATATATTTCTCAAAAGTAAACTTTCGTTTCAATTTGTAAATTGATAATTTTGTTATTACTTCTTTTTTGAAAAAATGGGTAACTGCCTAATAAAAAAGTATAAATAATACTTCTTTGGATAATCGGTAAAATGCGAAATGAGAACCGCGAGCCGGTAAAATGCAAATAGTTTTGCAAACCATAGTCCTATTGGTTGGGTAGTTGGTTAAATGTGAACCGCGAATCGGTAAAATGCAAACTTTTTTGCTAACCAAGACATAGTTTAATGACCATTTCACTTATGGTCTTTAAACAAACGTTTTCAATTTTTTTATTTAAATTAAATATAATGGAATTGGATATATTTTATTTAAATTAGATTGTGCTTCTTTTTTTCAATATTTTTGAATGAAGTTAAAAACCTCTCGATGAATTAAACTATGGTATAAGATAGTAAAGTTATAAGTTTTACTACATTACCGCCCTATTACCGCCCTCACATCTATTCAGGAGGAGAGGTGGGGGGCAAACGTTTTAGGGTCTTTTATTACTAGACTTATTTCATAGCAGTTTTTTGCAAAGCCTTCTCATTTGGCATAGGCATAAACATACTTAAGTTTGAAATTTGCACAGTGCGTTTAAATGTCTTCTCTCAAACATAAAAAATCCTGTGGGCGTCCACGGTATGTTCAATGTTTAACTTTAGAAACAAACAAAGAAAAATCGCTTTAAATTGAACTTATATTTCGTTTTAGCCAAAGTTCGACTAAGCGAGAATTCACTTTAGTCAAACATTCTTTAAGTCAGACTGTTTTTCTTGGTCCCTTGGAAGTTTGAGTTATAGAACTATATTTGTACTGTAATTAACTGTATTTAACATAAACCAAAAATGATGTGAAAACTTGTGTCCTTGCCTAGAAAGATGTTTTTCAAGTAATAATTGAACCTGTCATTTCGAAAAGGACACAAGTCCAAAACCTTTAACAGTTAGTTTATAAATTTGAATCAAAAATTTCTGTATGATTTATGTTTTTTTATATAAAAAATAAAAGTTACATAAGTTATATGTTTTTTATTTATCTACTTCTATGTTTAGTTTCTTTACTAGCGTAGACATAATTTTAATAAAAAAACATGGTAAATAGCATAAATAAACAAAAACATGGTTTTTAAAAACCATGTTTTTGTTTATTTTGAAAAGTTTTAATAAATGGACTTGTGCCCTTTTTGAAATGACAGGTTTAAAATGACAGGTTCAATTTAGCAATATAGTAATTTTAAAGAAAATAGGAGAGACCGGGGCTAGTTGACATTTATCTTCAGAGCTTTTTATCAGAAAGTGCCAAAAATTACATAGTACCTAATTGACCATTTCATCATTCACTCTAGTATTGTTAAGATTTGCGAATGCGCATAACGTAACTTTTGGAACATTGCTTTCTTTTTACTTTATAAAAAAAATAGTGAATCGTATGAAAAAAAATATATATATTGTAAAATTTACATTCACAACTGGTTTACTATTTCTAGTCAGATTTTTTAATAGTTTTTCAGGGTATTTAGATTTCATAAGTAAATACAGGTTTAAAATGTTACCGAAATCTATACTCTTTAAGACTGCGCTTTAATATTTACAAAAAATTTTGCTAATAGGGCTATAGAGCTCAAAGAGTAAAATTAGTGGCAACTAGCCCCTCAAAGAGTAAAATTAGTGGCAACTAGTCTCCTTAATTACCTTAATATTTCATAAAACTATTATAAATTTAAAACGTCGAAATCATATTGTTTACATTTTACATACTCTGAGGTGCTTAATGCAATGATGGGAATGGGAATAGGAGGGGGGTATATATATATATATATATATATATATATATATATATATATATATATATATATATATATATATATATATATATATTCCTAAAGATCCAGTAGTAGTGTAGTAGCGAAACTCAGAGTTGAAGAAAAAAGATAGATAAATATTTTTAATAATTAATTATTGCTCTGTTCTCTATATATATCTATATTCTATATATATATATATATATATATAAATATATATATATATATATATATATATATATATATATATATATATATATATATATATATATATATATATATATATATATATATATATATATATATATATATATATACTTACACACTTAAATAATCATATACATAAAATTACAATTAAAAATTTGTGATAAGAATACAATAATATTTTAAGAATTCATGACAATTTTAATATTTTTTGAGCTGGTTCTTTATTTGAACGAGGAGTTGAAAGTTTACATAAATTGCTTAAAAAAATGTTTGAAAGAATATTTCCGTGATGTCGATGCATCTCAAAGTTGTAAAACTCTGATATCATCATTAGAATATTGCTCAATGAAACTCTGCATACTTTATCTTTAATCGTATTAAAAATTATAAAAGAAAAAATTACCCATTGACAGGTATTATCTGTGGGAATATTAAGTCCACCACGGTCAATTGAGTCTATGTATTGTCCAAACTTTTGGTGGTAGAAAGTTGTTTTTTCTAGCAGCTCATTTTCTGATAGTTCATTATCTTTACGAGTTAAATATCCTGATATGTATATAAGTGCCATATTTGTATCAGAAGAAATAAAAGATTCAAGATTTGGCAGGTTGTCAAATATCTCAGCAGAGGACTCATCCAATAAAAAACCACAATTTGGACAAGAATGGGTTGTATCAAGACATATGTCAACAGCTGGGTTATTAAGAGATAGTAAAAGCTTGGCTATTGAAATATTCAGTTTTTCAATTACCTGCTGTACTGTTATAAAATATGTACCTCCGGAACCTTGTCGCAATTTGCTAAACTCTTTTTCCAATGGATCAGTAGAAAACTCACTAAGAATAACATATTGGTGTGAGCTATTCAATAATGAACGACATAATTCAACAACACCATTGCACGTATGGTAAATTGATTGTGCAGTGTCACAAGTAAGTTGTTTCTTCCTTTTACCTTGCTTTCCAGCCATCTTTAAAGCCATATTTCCGAAATCTAAAATATTTTCTAATCTATTATCATTAGGATCTCTAATAACTGCTTGAAGTTCATCATTAAACCTAACATCTGCACCTGTTCCTTTAACATTAAGAACTTTCCACCATGATACGACAATGTTAATAAAATCTGCTGTGTCTTGTCTTTCTTTTATATGCTGCAGTCCTGGATGATTAATCAAAGCATGGTAAGTTTTGTCACAAAATATCCTTAAACAGGTAGACACTGACTGCCTCTCGATTGGCTTTGGAAATATTGAAACTTCATTTAAATTAGACAATTTAACTAAGTTTTTAGATTCAAGTTCATAAAGTTTTTTCAGGTGATCTCATTGTGCTTAAATGTCTTATTTGATCCATTTGATGGCCATTTTTGTTCTTAAAAACAGCTAACCCGTCATCCCGATATAGACCGAAATCATTTTTGTTGTAAAACTGCGAAAGTTGATCTAAAATAAAAATTCCAACTAGTTCACAAATTTCCGCGCCATCATAGGCTCCCATGGTAACATCAAACAATCCTGCTTTTTTCTTAATCCATGATGTGCCTGTTTTTTTCTTAATCCATGACATATATATATATATATATATATATATATATATATATATATATATATATATATATATATATATATATATATATATATATATATATATATATATATTATATATATATAAGCCTGGGTCTACTCAAAGTCGACAGCGATTATTTTTTACACCTTAAGTCGATGTAAAAAATTTTCTTTTTTAATTCATTTTTCACTAACAGATGTTGCGTAGATTAAGAATTTGTATAGAAAAAAAATTTAAGTGATCAATTAAGCGCCTTTTTAAAAAGAAAATTTGTCGACTTAGCGATTTTAACGCATGCACATATATTTCAACTTGACGTCGTAAAATAAATTTTATACGCATATTTTAAAGTTTGTTTGTTATTTTTACATATATTTATATTAAAAAAATTTATAAAAAAATAGAAATATTAAAATACAAGTGTATATTTTTATTATTGTTGACTTGACGCAAGATTTTCGAGTACAATAAGTCTACTTATAGTTGAAAAAAAAACATATTATATAATGTCTAAATGTTAATTTTTTTTTTAAACTGGTAGTATATTATTTTAACTAAATAGTTTATCTATATTTTAAACAAAAATTATAATAAATATATCTTTATATTTCAAACAAAAAATGCAATCTCTTAACTATCGACCTACATGTCGTTTATGTAACACGAGTAAATTAACGCGCTTTTAAAAAAAGTTATTGTTTATAGATTTCCGCGTTTTTTTTTGTTTATGTTATTCATAGAAATCTCTTGAGTATAATTTAGACATTACAATGGTATCTTTTTTTTAAATTTCCATTGAACTAATCGTGAATAAAATTCATTCAAACGTAAAGTCGACAGGAAATTTGTCGACTTATGAAAATTGTCGACTTGACGATGGTTATAGAGACATAGTTTGTCGACTTTGGGCTGACCTAGTCTTATATATATATATATATATATATATATATATATATATATATATATATATATATATATATATATATATATATATATATATATATATATATATATATATATATATATATATATATATACAATTCTTACATATATATATATACATGTAAGAATTGTAATTAAATTATATATAACATGTAAATTATACATAATTATTGTGTATAATTATATTATACATATTTAAAGTTCTTATTTTTTTACAAATTTTAATACCATTTAATATAAAGAATAAATATTTATTAACAATTAACATTAATAACAAAGTTTTAAAATAAATTTAATTTATTTTAATTAATAATAAAAATATTAAAACATATTTGATTTCTTTTTTTTTTTCAAATTTTATTTAAATTGTATAAATTATGTTGATTTATATAATATAACAAGTGCATGCTTTAAAAAAAATATTTTTCTTTAATAATAAAAATATTATCATCTCACCAAAATACTATAATAAATATAATAGTACAAAAAAACCTACCAAAAAGTTGTGTGCTACCAGAAAGTTTTTTAATAGTTTATGACTTTTTATTCATAAAACATTAACATTTTGATTGCAAGAATTTATTTCAAAATGATTGTCTGAATTATTTAATCTTTCAAATATTAAAAAAGAATTGCAAAAAAGTGATAAAATATATATTAAAATAACAAGACATTTAAGATCTTTATATAAAAATATTTTTATCAAAAAAAATTTTATCAATAAAATTTACTAATGTAACTGAAATTGTATTTCTTCAAATATTTTTATCAAAGATTTCACTCCAAAAAGCAAACCAAGATCTGGACCATCAAACTCATGTTTATAACACGTGTGCGCAAAATCTATCATTCTTAATTCAACACAATCATCAACTGAAAAGTAAATTTGGTTGTCTGATTCACCGTCATATATCAACAGCAGCGAGCAGCAGTAGAACCTATACCCATCTATCATTTCAAGGGACTTTAACAACTTGTTAAGTTTTTTTATCAATGATGGTAATATGTCTGTCCTGTATCTTATACCAGTATATAAAAAATCTTTGAGAACTAATTTAAACTCATGTTCAGTCAACATGTGTCCTTCAAATTTATTCATTCGTAAATTTCTTCCAGTTATAGGATGGTTGACCTAAATTTTATAAAATAAAAACAATTAACAAACAATGAGCAAAAACAATGTAGCATTTATTTATTTTTAACTTAAAGCTGACAAAACAGTTAAAGATTGAGATGCTCCAAGTGCTATGATTGTACACGAACTTAATGGGTTTTTTGATACACAGTAAATATTTTCTGTGACATTGATATTACATAGGCCATTTATTAGAAAAGCTAGCATTTATCATACAAATTTCTGCCCTGTAACACAAATAAAATTATATACATTATTCCATATTTAGGGGTTGGAGGAGCCACAACCTACTTTAAAAAATAGCCAAAATTGTTTCCAAAGCAAAATGATTTGTTGCTTCTTTGCTGACTTTTTTTCAGATGACTGGATGATTTGGTAAAAATTTTAGATTTTTTTTATGCATTAGTGGTGTAGAAATAGAACGCTTACTTAATAAGCTTGTAATTTTTATATATAATAAAAAAAACATTTATAAAAAAAAAGACTCTAGAGGCTTGGCTTAAGGGAGATAATATTAAAAAAAATAAAAAATTATAAGATTTGTTAGAAATAAGTTTTAGATGATATACATGAAACGAGAGAATTATAAATTATGAAGAATTTAAAAACTTTAAAGTAACAAAAAAACACGAGTAAGCACAGAGAACAAATATAATTCCTAAAATTAAAATATTAAAATTATAAACTATTATAAAAACAAAAAAAAATTTAAAACATTTATTTTAATTACCATATAAAAGTAATAAATAAAGCTTAATTAGGCTATAAATAGGTAAAGGTTTAAATTTTTGTTTTTTGAATAGTTACAAAGTTTGCTTAGGTGTTAAAAATCTTGCCGACCTAACTGCCGACCTTAAAGTATTTGAGGTCCTAATTTCTATGCTTTATGGTAAGACCTCTGTATCAAATTTTTTTTGCCAACCTAATGCCGACCTCTAAAAGATCTCTAAAAAATGAGGTCGACAAATTATTGCGGACCTCATTTTTCTTAATTCCAAAGGTTGATATTTGTGTATATATATACACAAATATCAACCCTTGGAATTAAATTAAATAATTAATTATATATTATTAATTAATTATATATATATATATATATATATATATATATATATATATATATATATATATATATATATATATATATATATATATATATATATATATATATATATATATATATATATATATATATATATATATATATATATATATACATAATAAAAACAAAACCATGATTCAGTTTGTAGCTAGGGCCAATAGAGTACCGTTTTCGTCAATAGAGTACTGCTTTCATCGTGCATATATTGAGTAAATTAAAACTAAGAATTCTTGGATCGAAATGCAAACAAACAACTCAAAAATTTGTAACAACAACAATACAAATTATTCAGTTTTTAATTTCTTGTTTAGTGTTTGTGAATTTTTAAGAGCTGATTACAATGAAAGTTTTCATTTTGATCAGTTAGTTTAAATTTGATACTTTAAAGCCTAATTACTCCAAGTTTTTATTTTTATCAGTAGATAGTTTCCTTTGGCAATAAGTGAAATTTAATAAAGGAATGAATGAATACACTCAGGGTGGGTTTAAAACACCTAAGAGTAAATGCTTAAACAAAAAGAATTTGACAGGGTCAAAAAAATAATAACCAGCTCTCTAAACATTGACTGTTAAAATGATATTGTTAGTTATGACAATTTATATTATTTAGTTAATAAATATATAAATTTCTTTTTAAAAGTTGCAATTACATAAAATTAGTAAATACTTACAAAAATGTTTACGAATATGTTTTAACCAATAATTTTTAAGAAAGCTTAAATTTCAACTCTGAAAAATTTGTTTAAAGTGGTTTTTAATCTTTTTAAATTTACTTTTTTTTTTTTGTTCTTGTATAAGGATTACACAAAAATTGCATTTTTAGCAAAACAAGTAACAAAATAAATAAACAGTTTATAAATAAAAATTAAAAATAAATAAAAATTTGTAAAAACATTTGTAAAAATATATTCAAGCACACATAGTCTAAGAGACTGTGGCCGCCAGACCTACATTATTTTATAAAGGCTGAAAATTTCTCAGCGCATACTCCTAACACAAATAGAAACAATGGTCAAATATGTACTTTGGCTTTGACTAGTAACAGGTACTAAAAATAAAAAAAAGTACTGGTTTCTATTAGCATTTAATAACAGTTAGAATTTAAGATAAAAATTGTAATAAAAATGAAGTTAAAAAATGATTTTAATAGCTAATTTGTTTTTTATTTTTATTTTGTTCAAAATAGCTATTAAATTCATTTTTTAACTTCATTTTTTTACAATTCTCATCTTAGATTCTAAATGTTATTAAATACTAATAGAAACCAGTACTTTTTTTGACGCCTACAAACTGTAATTTTCTGACGCAATCAAACTGTATTTTTCTTTTTTTGACGCAATCAAACTGTAATTTTCTTTGACGCAGTCAAACTGTAATTTTCAGTTAAGTTATGTAACTAAGTTTTTCGCTAGAATGTTATTAGATATATAACTAACAGTATTGCTATTACTAATTACAATTTTTCGAAGTTTACAGGTGTCTGTTAAGGGGTTGCCACCATGATAAGTGTCTGGGAATAGATGGCATGATTTCTAATACTACTACATAGAAAATTGTAAGAAAATTACGCTTTATAATTTGACGCAGTTTAGCTGGTATTTTAAAAACCTTTGGTACCTGTTACCACCCAAAGCCACCATAATCTAAAATACATTGATGATCATCATTCCTACTTGTGTTGGAAACACACACTGAGAAATTTTTAGCTTTTATAAAATAACATAAACTAATTAAGATGCTAGTGCCAAGAAAAAAAGCATTACTCCATCAAATAATCAAAACTTTTGATTAAATTGTTTATTTTGAGTCTAAATTAATATGCTCATAGAATGGTTCAAAACAAACTTGTGCTTTTTAAAATTTTTTTTGATTGCATGACCTCTTTTTTTATAAACTTTTCACACACTTAAAAATAGTGCAATATCAATATTTGTTTGTTTCTGTAAAAGCAAGTCTTGAATTATAAATTCGTTTATAGACAAGAAAATCTTAAAAATTAATAAACTTCATAATTCCACACTTCTGAAATAAAGTCACATCACTAATGCTACACTAAAATTTGATACATGCTTTTGTTTTTTTACAGATAACTATTAAGACTTTGTTTTAATCCTCACACTCCTTTTTTTATATTTATTATATTTTATAAATTCACTCCTTTTTTTTTTGATTGAAAAAAATTAAATAAATCTCATTAGGTGGTTTTTTAGATGGTTTTTTAAGTTTTTTTCATTTTATTTTATGAATCACTTAGTAGTAGCATATCTTTAATAATTGGACAATAATTGTACAATAATTTTTAAAATTCCAAGATTCAGGATTATGAAAATTACCAGAAGGATAAAAATTACAAAAAAATGTATAACAATGTGTTTAATTATTTTACACTTCATGCTTTGGTTATTGAACTATTTTATTACAAAAAATTAACTACAGAAAATTTAAAGATCAAAAAAAAAGTTTAAAGATTCATGATTTTTATTGAATAACTCAATTGAATAATAAATTGAATATAGAATTTTATAATAAAAATTATAAAATTCTATATTCACCATTTTTAAAACAACTAAAACTTAATAACAAAAAATATTTTATCCCCTGTGAGTTTTATTAGGGCTGCGAGTTTTATTAAGGCTTTTTATTAGTTTTATTAGGAGTAACTCTTTTTTTAACTATTTACCTAGAACCACACTTGATAAAAAGACCGTATTAAGCTTTGGCTGGAGCCTGGTCAATTACTAAAATGAACAATCAAAATACTTGAAAAATGACAACCTTTTAACAAATTAGATTGTTAACTGATTCTTCTGTCGAGTCTTAAATAAATGTTAAATGATTCTTCTGTCAAGTCTTAAATAAACCAGATTGTTAACTGGTTCTTCTGTCTCAAATACTTACTTTTAATATTGAAAAGGTTTCTGCCAATTAAAAATTTTAAGACAAATCACCTAATAAAATGTTTCAGAAAGAAAATGACAATCCTTCTATTAGACCTATGTTTTATCCATCAAAGAACTTGATTTTCCTAAAATAAACGTGACATGAATGACATGACAAAAATAATGTAAAATAACTAAAGTATTGTAAATAAAGAAGAAGAACTAAAAACATAAATATATAAAAATACTAATATAAAACAATATAACATTATATATATATATATATATATATATATATATATATATATATATATATATATATATATATATATATATATATATATATATATATATATATATATATATATATATATATATATATATATATATATATATTATATCAGGGTGTAAACTAGCCCTGTAGGGCCCCATAAAACGCTGTATTCTCAAATGCTCAAAAAATTTAAATTTGCAATTTAAAGTTGAAAAACCCCATTCTCCAAATAAAGTATGCCAAATTAAAGTTTAATAATAATTCTAAAAATTATTGAAAATTTGTTATTTTTAAAATTTTATAGAAAAATAACATTAAAAAATCTAATTTATTAATTGCGTATAACTTGAAATAAAATCGCAGTTATTGCTATTATTATTATCGCCGCAATTGCATAACTGCAAAAAGGTCTCTTAAAAAAAACTTCTTGAGAATTGGGATTTTCTCAGCAATTTTATGGATTACAACTACAACTTGTTTGTAAAATTCATTTCTCAAAATTTGCAAATAAAGTTTTGCAAGGTGTTCCAACAAATCTATAAATCTACTTGAACTCAAACAATATTAAAATGCCCTAAATTGCTTGAGCTCTAGGGTAATGAACTCGAACTTTGTTTATCAGAGTTGCCTACGCTGAGAGATTACAACTACAACTTGTTTGTAAAATTCATTTCTCAAAATTTGCAAATAAAGTTTTGCAATGTGTTCCAACAACAGCAAATATTATATAAAAAAGTTAGCAATCTAAAAAAATAATAAACTTGTTTGGTTTAACACCCACAAATACTATTTCTTAAAATTTTTGCCCTTTTGGCTGAAAAGTTAAACAACTTATTAAGTCTTACTGCAAACTTTACTTAAAGTAGTACATGTGCTTAGTCAACAAAAATATTGAGAAGCTGTCTGCGTCAGATACTTTCAAAATTTTGATCAATTACAGATATTACAGTAAGTCTTTAAGTTATTGTTTATCTTTTTTGTTTGGTATTATATCAACTATATCAACTGAATTACGTGATCACATAGACTAAAATCATTTTTAACTTAACTACTATATTTTCACCATATTAAAAGACCATCTCTGATATATAAGTTAAATCCAAAAAATATTTTATGAAAATAACAAACTGGTACTAGAAATTTATTTATCAAGGAAAATAGATTTCTTTACTGCCTGCTTTTATTTAAAAGGTAAATTAAATATGTATAACGTATACGTATATGTAACTTTATTTTGCAATGCGATTTATGTATAAAGAAAATTAATATTAATTATAAAAATGAACTCTATAAATAAAAATAAACTCTGAAAATGAACTCAATAAATATGTTATTTATGACCTCATGTTTACTATTTTCAAACTTTTTTATGTTTCTATTTTTAAAACATTTATTTTGAGGACACAATTTATTACATGATGGTGTAAGAGTTTGTCCATAAAGGATGTAGAGCAGAATTTATATAATAGTTAGAAGTAGAAGATCATTAGCTCTCTTCTGCGGAAATTTTCATTGAACATAAATCACTATATTATATTAAAAATCGCCATTTAATGGCCACCATTAAAAAAAAAAAATATCTTCAAAAGAATACTCTTAAAATGAGAGCGGTAATGATATATTAAGATTAAAAATAAATCAAATATTCTTAATAATAATTAATTAATATACACTGGTTATTTCTAATATAAAAATATATGATTCTTCAGAAAGGTATTAATTTGCCGTGTCTATGACTAATTTTTGACGTGAAACTACGACTAATTTTTGGTTGACTTCATATCTTTAATATATGTTACAGACAGTACTTTATTCTATTTTTGGCTCTGTCTAATCAATGTATGCAGCGCATCAGTGGAGTAGAAGAAGAAAGAATATAAGAAAAGAATCCCAGACATTCCCTAAATACATTTTAATCTAAGGGAAGGGAATTGGGAAATATTTTGACAAATTCCCAATTTTGTCAAAACGTTGTATCAAATTTATTCCTGGTTAACACCCTGTATATATATATATTAACATAAAAATAAATAATATTAATTTAAGATGAATATATATAATAATATAACAGTATATATATAATATATACAATAATACAAAAATATATAATATTAATTTAAGAGTTTTTTATTCAGAATAAGAAACAAAAAATAAAATTATACATTTCTTAATAGAAATATAGTTATTAACTATATATTAACTTTTATATTATTATTATAAATTCATATATATGAAAATATATATATATATATAAAAGTTAATAAATGAGCTTGACTGATAGTTACTAATTAAAAAAAAACATAAAATAAAATTAAAAAAAGTATTATAAAATTTATAAAAAAATTGAATCACCTGAAAACCTCCTAATTTTACACCTAGGTTAGGTGCAGTTGAAGTATCTCTAACTTTTTTCATTCTTTTTTCTCTTTTATCACATCCTCGTGTTCCCATCTTTAAATCAATAACACAAGGGTATTTATACTTTCGTGTAACATCTTCAATAATCATCAATTCTGATACAGTTAAGCAAAGTTATATAATATCAGTGAAAATTTAATTTTAAATACATGATGAAAATTTTTATTATAAAATGTTTAAATGGTCATGAACCATAACCACCTATCCATCTATCCAAAAACAATTTTAAAAAGCTAACATGCTTCATACTATAGCTAATATTTTCCATACTATTAATTGAAATTTTTTTTATTTAATACTTGAAACTATATGTTTAGCACACTATATATTTAGTGAAATATATGCAATGCTGTCAATTGGGGTAAACAAGAAGAAAATGAACAACGGTATAAAAACAAACATCATTATTTGTTAAGAAAATGGAACACACGGAAGTAACACGCGCTTAATATTTTATTATTTTGATTCAGTTGACGTAAATGTTTAGAAATTAATTTCACAATTTCGCCCACAAAAACTTTCATTTTTTCTATCGCTTATTTTCTATCGCTAAGCAGCTAGAGATATGTGCTTTAAGCTTATTAAGTTATTTTTCATTTAAGTAAGTTATTTTTATTTACTACTGAATTAAAATATCATAAAAGTTAGCACACATTAACTTCAGGTTTATTGTTAAATAAAGCTTTAATTTAAGAGAGATAATTTAATTTAAGAGAGATTTTTTTTTTTTTTTTTTTTAACATCTTCACTTCCAACAAGGCTGCATGCAACCACTATAAGAGTTGGAAGTTACTGGAAGAGAAAAGACTAAATCTGTAGAGCAAGATAACGATTGACTGATGACTTAAAAGATTGCAAATTATATGAATCAGGAAAGCAAGATGAAGGAAGCGAATTCCAAAGAACTGATGTTCGAGGAAAAAAACTAGAAGAATAAGAGTTTTTGAAAAACTTAGGAACAGTCACAGAAAAAGGATGAGACTTAATTGAATGGCGAGTAACACGAGAATGAATTTTAGTAGATGGCACAAGGGACGCTAGCTCTTTAGAGCAGTGCCCATTATAGTATTTGTAGAAAAGAGAAAGAGAAGCAACATTACGACGATGTGACAAAGGTTGGAGATTGGCTGCCAGAGACGGTCCAACTATGTTTACAATTCGTTTTTGCACCTTGTCTAAAAGAGAAAGAGCATCATTAGAAGATCCGCCCCAGATGTGGCAACAGTATTCCATACAGGGACGGATTTGAGATTTATAGAGATAGAGAATAGAATCTGGAGTAAGAAAGTGTCGAGCTCGATAAAGAGATGCAACCTTAGCAGATGCTAATTTTGCAATGGATTTGATATATGGTTTAAAAGAAAGATCAGAAGTAAGAGTTAATCCTAGAAGATGAATGGTAGATGACTCATCTAGTACATAAATATAGGAAGATCTAAATTATTACGATAACGATTGGCCGAATAAAATTGAGTTTTATCTGAATTAAAGTTCACCAGCCACCATGAGCTTCATGCTGTAGCAGAAGTGAGATCCTTTTCAAGCTTAGGTACCCCCTCCAAGCAATCAGAGAGTGTAGGCTTCTTATCATGACAAGAGTAAATGGTAGTGTCGTCAGCGAATAATGCCACCTTAGGTGTGAGAATATCTGGAAGATCGTTAATGTAAATTAAAAAGAGTATAGGGCCAAGGATTGAACCTTGAGGAACCCCTGAAGTTACAGGATGTGAAGAAGAGTGTTGTCCATCGAGGACAACTTTTATACTAGGATTGGAAAGAAAGGACTCAATAATCTTAAAGACGTTACCAGCTACACCATAAGAAGAAAGCTTATGGAGAAGACCAGCATGCCAAACTTTATCAAAAGCTTTAGAGATGTCAAGTGCGATAGCCTTAGCCTCTCCACCTCTATCTAATGCACGGTAAAACCTATCGGTTATTACTGTTAGCACATCAGCTGTAGAACGAGAAGACCGAAATCCATATTGATGATCAGAAAGTAAGTTATTTGATTCAAGATGAGAGATTAAGTGTTTGTTGATTAAAGATTCAAAAACCTTACTTATGACAGGAAGAAGACTAATGGGACGGTAGTTAGATGAATCAGATCGCTCTCCGGAATTTTTGAAAATAGGGATAACAGATGCTGCTTTCCAGCATGATGGAAAACAAGACTCTGATAAGCACTTGTTAAATAGTTTAGAAAGTATGGATGAAAGCTCCGGAGAACACCTCTGCAAGACTACAACAGGAATGTTGTCAGGACCACAAGCTGTTGAAGAGTCTAAGCAGGAAATTACTTTAGATACAGAAGCTGAAGTGATGCGAATGTCAAGCAAGGGATCAACCTGTTTGACGGCTATGTCAGGTAAAACGCAACTAGTGGAATCAAGAGATGATATTGATGAAAAGTTCTTAGCAAACAATTCAGCTTTGTCTTTAGGTGAGGTGACAAAGTCTGAACCATACAAGAGAGAAGGAATAACAGATTTGCCCTTATTATTGATACTGTTAAAGATTCTCCAGAAGTCTCGAGAGCCTAATTTTTGTGATGAGATACGAGATTTAATGACCTGGGAATAGCGAGCTTTGGCGTCAGACAAAACCTTTTTACAATGGTTTCTGGCGATAGTAAACAGATGTCTGTTTTCTGGAGAATTGTTTTGCTGATAGATATGGAAGTAACGGTTTCGATTAGAAATTGCTGCAGCGCAATGTGAGGAAAACCAAGGAGAAGAGTGAGGCTTGACCTGGAATCGTCGAGAGGGAATAAAAGATTCCATGCCAGCCTGAATCCACGAAGTTATGTAAGAAGCACATTTGTCAGCAGGAAGACGAAAGATTTCTACCCAAGGGCCATCACGAAGAAAATCACGGAAAGAGTCCCAGTCAGCTTTAAGGTAGTTGTATGTGGTACGATGATAGGGGGATTCTGATGAAGTAGAAGAATTTGATAATAGTTTTAGAGAGATCAAACCGTGATCAGAAGTACCTAAGGGTGAATGTGGAGAAATTGAGCACTGACTAGGATCCAAAACAAGACATAAGTCGAGTAGAGAAGGTAAATGATTAGGGTTGTCTGGAAAACAAGTTGGAAAGTTGACTATTTGAGTTAGAGATTGAGAAAGGCAAAAGTTGAGGGCCTTGATGCCAGCAGAGTCACTGACACTAGAGCCAAGCCAATCGGTGTGATGGGCATTAAAGTCACGAACAACAACAATATTGGACGATGGATAAAGAGGCTTGGTCAATTTGATCAGAAATAACATCAAGAATAGTGCAATCTTGGGATGAAGGAGAGCGATATAGAACAAAGAGAAAGGCGATAGAGTGAAGTTGTGCTAAACGAAAGCACATAAATGAATAGTCTGTAGATTCAAACCTAGCTTCACGACAAATGGGTGAGTTCTTACGAATGTAGATGCCCAGGCCAAGCATGTGATTATTGGAGTCTTTACGAATTAAAGGAAGATAACCATCAACACTAAGATCACAAGATGGGACAGCCGAACTCAAATTAGTCTCACAAAGAGCAAGTAGGTCTGGTGAACTTTGCAAGAGATAAGACTCAACAGAAGAAAAGTTACTTCGAAGACCACGAATATTAGTAAACGATAGGTTTAGAGAACTTGGTGATGACGATGGTTTTTTGTGTTTTTTAGTTTTAGGTACTTTAGTCATTTTAAATTTATAAAGAACTTGACTCAAGTATAGATAGTACTCAGTACACTATTTAACAACTAAGCAATAGCCTCATTACTATTAATAAACCCTATGGTACCATAAATGATACCATTTATGGTACCATAACACTGTAGCTAAAAATATAGTGATGAATGATAAAATATATAAACCTCATATTACAGCATACTTAAAAGTAAAAAAGATATTAGTGCTAAGTTTAAAATCAAATATTTTATAAACATTAGATTTTAAACTTAGCACTAATATCTTTTTACTTTTAAGTATGCTGTAATATGAGGTTTTACCTGAGTTATAATTTTTCAGAGACGAGAATTCAAGTATTAGATAATCATTATCATCATCAGCATCATTTTGCTTTTTTTTTATTATTCAACTCTCTAAATTTATTCACTCCACACTATTTCTAAATTTGTAAACAATATTATTGCCATATATAAAATTTCTTTTTTAGACAAAACCTAAAAACACATATTAAAAGTATTTGGACCTGCTCTAGCTTCCATGCGTAAGCTTCTACTTAAACCTTGTCAAATTCCAGTTTTTTTTCATTCTACATGTGTTACCATGACCTGTTTATGTAAGCTTTAATCTCTTGTTCTATCAAGCAACACTCAAATTTGCACTCTTAATTAATTGAAATTGTATTCTTTTACTACAACTTTTCTTTCATGCTCCAAAAACATTTATTGTTTTTTTTTTTCTTAAGCATCAAGAACTCTCTTCTAATTACATATTTGACTCAGTAAAATATGAAATTGGGAAAAATTTTACCATTTTTTTACATTTTATTTTTCTTTCTTGTTCTTCAACTCTTTTTTTTTCATTTGTTTCAATTCCAAATTAACTATTGGTTATCATATAATAATAAATTATCATTGATTGCATCCTATAGTTGTATGGTTGCATCCTTTTTAGAAGTGGACTGAAAAAAAATGTGAACAAAACAAAAAACATAGTGGGTTAAGATCAATACCTTATACTTTGGCTTGTAACTGTATAAAAAGTGAATCTGAACTTAAACATGAAAAGATACGATGTCTTCCAGATGCTACAACCTTTTGTGACAAACTTAGCAAACGGTTGTTTGATACACATTCACAACGGTTGTTTGATGCACATTCACAATTACTTGATTTTTCAGATTCTGTAAAGTTTTATTAAAACAATCATATGTAAATGTATTAAAAAATTGATTAGATCAATTTATAAATGAGACCTTGTATGCTGACGTATCAAGTTAAAATGTACTAAATGTAATAGTGTTTCTTAGAGTTTCTATGTATAAAACATAGAAACTCTAAGCTAACTCTAACATATATACAGCCCTTGGAATTACACATTCACAACGGTTGTTTGATGCACATTCACAATTACTTGATTTTTCAGATTCTGTAAAGTTTTATTAAAACAATCATATGTAAATGTATTAAAAAATTGATTAGATCAATTTATAAATGAGACCTTGTATGCTGACGTATCAAGTTAAAATGTACTAAATGTAATAGTGTTTCTTAGAGTTTCTATGTATAAAACATAGAAACTCTAAGCTAACTCTAACATATATACAGCCCTTGGAATTACACATTCACAACGGTTGTTTGATGCACATTCCCAATTACTTGATTTTTCAGATTCTGTAAAGTTTTATTAAAACAATCATATGTAAATGTATTAAAAAATTGATTAGATCAATTTATAAATGAGACCTTGTATGCTGACGTATCAAGTTAAAATGTACTAAATGTAATAGTGTTTCTTAGAGTTTCTATGTATAAAACATAGAAACTCTAAGCTAACTCTAACATATATACAGCCCTTGGAATTAGAGTTAACTTAGAGTTTTTATGTTTTATGGTAATCCCTTTGTGTCAATTTTTTTTTGCCGACCTGATGCCGGCCCCTAACAGTTTGAGGTTGATATATTGAATTTATTACCAACCTAATTTTTCCTAATTCTGAGGGTTGTATATATATTATGGGTATAATATTTTTACAAACTCAATTACAATCTTACAAACAATGAGCATGTCATATTCTGATGAGCTTTTGTATATAATTATTAAAATTCAGTTTCATTATCATGTTTCTAGAAAAAAAACTCATGCACTGATCCACTAAAAAGCCAAGCCAAAAGCTGTTATTCACATAATAAATATGCCTAGAGATTTTTTACTGGTAATTTGAAGTAAAATGTTTTCCACTTAAAATAATAAGTTATATTTAAATAAGTAATCATATAATATTATAATAAGAAACTTATTAAAGCTTATTTGAGGTTGACAACCGAGGTAATAGCAAGAAAGAGTAGCAGCACTTTTTTTTAAAAGTCAACGAAAGTGCAAATATCTAACTTACCCAAACTTTAAATTATGTAATGTTAAAAACATACTAAGACATATATCAAGTTTTTTAGTTTTGCTTTCACTTGGAAATTGCATTGCAGCAACATCTCCTTAAGATTTGATCTATAGCACTTATTTCCATTTGATAATGTTTTTAATATGTTATAGGCTCCTAAGATCCTAGGACAGGAAGTCCAGGTTTGAATCCTACCATCAGCTTTTTTTTTTTTTATATGTGCATAATGCCACTAGTATAAAATGAGGTGAATCAGTTTGTGGGCTTGGGGCTTATATCTCCCCTTTCCATCATTGTTAAAAACCATAAAAATTGGTCAATAACAGGAAATGGTGTATGATTTTTTCTTTGTTATAATGTTCCTATAGCATATTTGTAGGATAATTACTAAGATAATAGTTTCCTGATGATTTGCGTTTTAAACGTGTTCTATTTATTTATGATCACTTTGGCATCCTAAATATTGTAATAAAAATGATGAAATTAACAAATTTATAATATATATATAAAGGTAGTCTTTTTACCTACTACAAAAAGCTATTAATATTTCTAAACTAACATAACATCAATTTCATTGCAATAAATGGCTAAATCTATTCGAGCTCAAACAATATTAAAATGCCCTAAATTGCTCGAGCTATAGGGTAATGGACTCGAACTTTGTTTATCAAAGCTGCCTACGCTGAAAGATCGTTTATGACATGGAATTTTGTAGCGTGATAGATCAGTTACACATTTGGATACAAGATGTTTGTGTACAAAAATATTTATTGGAATAAAAAGTATTTGTATGTCAGCAAATTCTACAATCCCATTGATCTCAGAAAAAAATGCAGTCCTTGAATGGAACGTTGCAAAAGACATTAGAAAATTGAGAACTACGAAAAAAAGAAATATGTATACATACAAACTTGATAAGACTTGACAAAATGTGCAAAATCTTATGCTCTAATGAAAATGGATGTATTGGTTGTCTATTTAAAGCTTATGTAACTTGCATATGTCCATAAGAAACAAAGATACCTTTGCAAGAACTATTTTTCCTACAACCTCAAAGAAATAATATTGGTAACAAAAAGTTCTTTACAAATAGGATTAGTTGATATATCAGAGACACATGATATTTGTATAGAAAAAAATTAGACTCCAAAATACCTGGAGCAAATAGTGAGGATATAGGTATATGTTAAAATATTAAAAATACTTTTGTCAATTTTTGTTTAAACTGTGAATTAAAAAATTGAGTATAAATTATTTTCATTAAAATTATTTAACATAACTTATTTTCTCCTTTAGCACTAGAATTGCAAATAACAGATGATTCGGACATTGGCAACGAAAAAGCAAATAATACAGAAAAAGCTGACTTCAGTTTGAAAAAAAATTTCTTAGATATTACTAGGCTTTCTCAAGCAGGTATCAGGGGTATCTAACAGAGCTGCAGCAGCCATAACTACTACTACTTTAGCTTCTGCGAAAGATGCAAATTTTTTAAAGAAAAATACTGATATTTTTGTTGATCACAACAAAATAAAACAAAGTAAGACTAAGTTAATGAAAGAATTCCGAGGTAGAGCTGAAAAGATAGCAATGAATGATAATATTCAATGTATATTTTTTGATGGACAAAAAGATTTAACTAAGTATATGAGAGAAGAAGATGAAAAATTACATCTATCGGAAAAAAAAAGAAGAACATTATTCAGTTTGTTCTGAACCTGGAGGAAAATACCAATTTCATTTCACTAACAATTCTGAAGAAAGAGTAGAGACTGCAGCTGAGCAAATAGCTGATAATCTTTACAAATGGATTGTGAATCATGATGTTGGAGACTATTTAGTTGTCATTGGTGCAGACTCAACAAATTTAAAAGTTGGAAAGGAGATGTTATCCACTACCTTGAACATAAATTGGATAAAAAACTAATTTAGATAATTTGTGCTCTTCATACAAATGACCTACCTCTCCGACATCTTATGATTCAGTTTGACAGAAAAACTGCATTTAAAAATAACTTTTCTAATTCTATTGGAACTTATAGGTAAAGCAACTAGCTTCAAAGTCAAAGATATCATAATAAAATTTGAATTTCCTTATGCAATAATAGAACTTGACTCTGAAGTTGTAAAATCGCTATCAGATGATCAAAAGTATCTTTATCAAATTACCCATGCAATTAATGCTGGGGTTTTTCCGGAAAATCTTAAAGGTAAAGAAATTGGGCCACATTCGCATGCAAGATGGTTGAATTTGGCAAATAGAATATGTTTACCTTGGTGCTCCAAAATCATACTTTTAGTTGAAGAAACATATAATCTTCAAATTCTGGTGGAGTTTATTGTTGGATTGCTTTGGTTTGAAATCAAAGTAAAGTGGAAGTGGACTGAAGGGCCTTGCCATATACTTAAGCAATTAAAACTTCTTTGTCATCAAAGACTTAAAGTTAAAGACATTGTAATCCCCTATATTTTATCTTCTTCATGGAATGCTCATAGTGAAAATGTTTTTTAAGCATTGTTATGTAGTTTAGAAAAAACAGGAAGACAATTTGCAGTTGAAACAATTTTAAAATTAAGAGGAGATTTAAAATACAGAAACACTAATGTAAGAAGTAGAAAATATCATATACATAATGAAAATGCTGAATCACTTTTTAATCTAATTGATTGGAGTTCGGATGTACATAGACCTTTACTTACATGTTTATTGTCAAAGGATGAACTTTTAAAATACAATGATATTCTGATGTATGTACCTTGTTTTCTTGTTCATGAGCAAGCTATTGAGCAATGTGTCCTGTTCATGGGCAAGCTATTGAACGAAGTCACAAGAGATTCTCAATTGGTACTTGGAAAAGATAGAAGAGATGGGTTCATCAGAGCAACATTAGCACATCAAGAAATCATGTCCAAAAAATCAATCAACAAAAGATCTACTTAAATTAATTTAAGCAATATGAATTTTTTTGTTGTTTTGCTTTGGATTTTGTTTATGATCTCAGAAATAAGTTGAGCTTTAAACGTATTGCATCTTTTAGATGACATTTTATTAAGAACCAATATACTTTTAATCCTTCAGAAAGTTTGTGAATTATTGCAGGAATAATCTTATTTATTATCTATAGATCAAATAAATTTTTTTCCTCTTCTAATATCCTAAAGAATTTTCACTTCATACATTTTCGTATGACTTTATGAAGAGTAGCACCAAAAATTATGTTTTATTTTAGTGTCTTTATTATGCCAAGTTGTTTTTTGATGATTGCATCATCATAGGCTTATGAAAAAAGCGCAGAAAAGTGCTAACTTGATTCGCTTTTAGTAAAACAGGCATTTTTTAAACGCCCTGTGCCCTCACAAAACAAACTTTTTAAGAAAAAATTCATAATTGTTTGAATATACTTTTATTTATAAATAAAATGTATTTTTTAACTTTTTAATCTGTTTTTAAAGTTACTAAAGTTTAATTTTTTTAATGTTTTTCTTAACAAAACATGTGCTGTTTTAAAGGTGATGTAACAAAATTCTGTCTTGACAGGCTGGTAATTTTATAGAAGCTAAAGATGACCTTATTTTAAGTTATTTTTTTATTGGTTTTGAACAATTTTAAGTTAGATAACCAATTGTGTTTTATTTTCTAATACAAAACACTAATATATAATCTATTTATTTAGTTATTGTCTGGTGGCGATATTCAGGTTAGATATTTTAAAGTTCAATTTACTTTTAAAGAATCTTTGAAATTTACTTCTTAAAAAAGTTACATTTGCCTTTTGTTTTACTTTTTAATTCAACAAATTTTTTTGTACTAGGTGTTTAGATTTGAATAACAATATTTTGTTTGTTATTTTATTTTTAGTGTTACAGTTTATCACATATTATAGGTTTTAATTTCTCATTTATCTTTATCTTTTAAACTGATTTAAAAAAAAAAAAATATTTCCCCTAACATGATTGTATTATGATATATATTATGAGATATTTTACTAATAATTTGATTGCTTTGAATTGTTTTTAATTTTCAATTTGATTACCTGTATGTTTTGTTATATATTATAGCCAATAAAGTTTAAGCAATCCTAGCAATAATAGCTGCTGCAACGCACTTATCTGTAAGTGGTAAATAAATAATTTGTAGGTTTTAATTTCAAGTAAGATGTTAAAATATCATTCAGCTATTTCAATTGTTACTTTTGATATTTTTGGTTTATCTTGTAAAGCGTTTGTATGCTATTGAGATAATAATAAGGGCCCAGATCCTTTAATGTACTTAGGGTGTGGGCCCAGAATATGGGGAAAGATTTCCCCTCATTTCATTAAAGGAGAAGAGATTACCTTTACCAAAGGTTAAGTGGGAGGAGTTAGAGTAGACAGGGGAAAATACATAACTAATCTAGAAATAGAAAATGTAGTTAAATATTTTAAGTTTAATATGTACATTTTTATTGATTTTTTTTGGTTAATGTTGTTTGTAAATAAATAAATTTGTAAAAAAATACCATTTTTGTTTCTTTTTTTTTTTAATATCAACTTATGTTTATAAATTTTTTTGTTGAAACGATATACATTCTGTTTCTAGACTAAACACCATCAAAATTTTAGTCAGCAGAACATATAAAATACTAAAATTTTAATATTTTGAATTAGTATCTAATAAATATTTACAATAAATTCGTAAAGGAACTTAAAAATCAATTTTTCACAGGTTGGTCTGTATAAATATGGTACACAAGATGTGAGCCCAAATTTAGGGTTAAAGCACCCCTACCCCTTTTTTTTTTTTTAAAGAGAGTGTGGATCCTGTAAAGAGTAAAATATGAGGAGAGGGAGCCGTGAGAAACTAATACACCACATCTATAATTAGTACTTTTGTTGTTGGTTAATCTCCAAATTGTTCACTGATGATGCAGATTTTTTATCTATATTTTGTTTTGCTATTATGTATAAATATATAGTAATTGTATATAATAAAACATTTTTTTATTTAATGACGTTTAGTTTTAATTAATATTATTTTTTATAAATAAAAATTTGTTTTGTTTTGTTGGTATATAATTTTTTTTGAAAAGGTATATTTTGTTCTGTTTTCTTAACAAGTTATGCTTTTTTTAATTGTAAAAAAGTTTTATTTTTTATTTCTTTTTCAAAAAAAGAATGTTTTGCTAATTGTAAATAAATATATAAATTTATATACTTTAATTATTAATAATTATTTCATAGCATTTTATTATTTTAATAAAAGTGTAATAAATATAGAAAGGGAGAAACGGTATGGAACATACCAAGACCTGTATCTTATGGGTCTGACCAGCTAGTAAAAATAAATACTTGAAATGCCTTATAAAATTTATTATTTAATTAGGTATTTAAAACAAAAAAAAAAATAAAAAACACTTTTTGAAAACATTAACAATCAAAGTCATTACATTAATTAACATTAATTAACATTAATTAACTTAAATATAAGTTTAAAATTGATAATCAATAGAACAAACACTCAACAAATCAGATATCACTTTTATTATCACTTTTATTTTGCAATATTAACTATAATTCTTTTTGGTGAGTTTTTAAATGAAACCATGAAATTATTGTCATTTTTTTCAAAATATAAAAGTTCATCACTAGATGACATGCTCATTTGAAAATTTGAAAATTATTTTTTATTTTATACCCCTAATATATATATGTATATATATATATATATATATATATATATATATATATATATATATATATATATATATATATATATATATATATATATATATATATATATATATATATATCAAGCCTTCCTGGGAAGCGCATGCAGTCACACGCCTTGTTTGTCCACCCTTGAAGTAATTTTTTTTGACAACTTTTGTTTTCTTATTTTTATGATGTTTTTTATTTATCCACTACTAAAATTGATAAAGAAGATAAGAATATAACAAAAATAAAAACATTTATACATTGATATACAATTTGCTCGCAACTTTTTTCAGTCAGTGTATTAAGGAAATACTTTATTATATTGCGCCAGAAATGTTGACAATTTTTAAATTTGTTTTTCAAATGTTTTTGCTAAACTTTACTGTTTTTATCATTGCATAGGAAGCGAGAAAACTAATTGATATTTATTTGTAAAAAAAATTTTTAACAAGTTTTTAATGTTAAAAAATAAATTGTCATTAATACTTATATTTAAACATAAAATATCTGGTTGTTTTTACTTCCCCATTGAAATAGTCTGCAATTTTGTTGGATTATCCAAGTTAAGCATTTAAAACTGATAGTTAATTTTCCTGATGAAAAGAGAAAAAGATGCAACCTTACGACGAGACATACTCAAGCTTTTTGAATTATTTATGAAGAATTTTCAAACAAATGGTGCTAATAGAATCCACCAACCAAATCGAGCAAAAAATTCTCTCAAAGTAACTAAGTGAAATTTATTGAATGAAATACTATTTAACAATTAGTAAGGTTTTATAAACATTTTATATTTTTCAAAAAGCAAAAAAAAATTTCAAATTTCAATTATCTAAGTTTCTATATTTTTCATAAATTTTTAAATAAAAAAAAATTAAAATTTTTTAAACACTTGAATAATTTCTGTTGTAGATTGTAGTTTTCTCAAAGTAAATATAACAATGCAGTAACCACAGCAACAAATTACATATTTTTTTATCATCATTAAATCCACTCTGATTTTTACATTTTTATGTAATTTTATATTGGATAACCACAAATGTTCATAAAAATGTCATTAATAAATCAATTTACATATTTACAATTACATACAGTCATCAACTAATATCTGATTTCTTACCCACTGGTATCAATTGTTATTCATTGATGCCAAATGTCATCCATTAATATCAGTTGCAATCATTAAATTGTTACACTCAGTTTTTTGTTTAAGTTTGTTTAAGTTTATCACAAATATTAGAATATAATAGAATAGAAATGATAACTCATATGAGTTAAAACTGAAATTACTTAGAATTCATACAACAGCCAACACAATAAAAAAAAATGTAACAATAAAGAAGTATAACAATAAAATAAGAAATAACATTTAAATAATGTACAAGTTCTGAGCTTGGGTTCTTTTTTTTTTTATAATAGGGTTCTTAAATTGATTTATACTTAATGATTTAATGGCTTCATGTGAACATTCCAGTCATTTACAACTAGAGGCTCACCTAATCTTTAATCATTTGGTATTTACAAAGCTGATTTTAAACTAAAAAAGGTACTTATCTTACCAAATGGGTACATATCTTAACAAACCGATTACATATCTTAATGCACTGGTTAATTTCTTTAACCTATAATATTTTTTTTAACTTATTTTTATAAATATACTATTTTTTTATTTTTTTTTTAATTTTCAATTTTTAATTAATAGAACTTACCACAACTACTGCAAGTATTAATTAAGGTGGATACTACACTAAACAAAATAAATCAAGGTAAATTTAACACTAAACAAAATTTAATTAAACATTACACTAAACAAAATATTATATCAAGAACTATTCTAGGTAATTAATTTGGGCGGTGTTACCTACCCGTCCCGTCAATATTTAGCAGAAATATTGCTAAATGTAAGTGTTTTTTTGCAAAAAAAATTGCAGTCAAAAAATTAAAAAAAAGGCCCTCAATTTTGAATTCGAATGGCACTCAAATCAGCCAAATATGGTCGATGCTGTCAAAAATTGTCTAGAATAGCCCATGTATGTTAAATATTACACTAAACAAAATTATTTGTCTTAAATATTACAATTAACAAATTAATTATGCTAAATATGACACTAAACAAAAATAAATAAGTCAAACATTAAAATAAACAAAATAAAGTTTGATATTACACTAAACAAAAATTCATCTATGAGATAAGATTTAAATAAATAACTCATGATAATTCTAAAGAAACACCTGTTTAAGTTTAAATCTTGAAGATGGTCAAAATTTTTAGACAAACAAATAATGTTTTTGCCAGCTTTTTTAAAAGTAATTTCCAAATATCCTGAAAAAAAATCAACAAAATAAAAGTTTTTTATAAAATAAAAAAATTATCTTTTGAAAAAATAAGTTTTTTTAAAAAGTTTTTTTTTTAAATAATTTTGTTTTTAAAAGTAGATATGAAGTGTTTATTGACAAGTGTGTATTTAAAAAAAGAAAAATAAAAACATACAAAGTATATAAATTGTAGCACTTATATATAGAGAAGCAATAAGGGCAAAAATGACAAATGAGTTGAAAAACCTTTTCCTAAAACAGTCAGACATGGATGATAATATTGTTTTAGTGTTTATTATGTTATAATGATTTATTATAAAATAATTAACTCATTATACAGGCTTGGATAGGAATGGTGTGCGATAGAAGGCTGTAACTGACTATGCTTATTATTTTTCCTTACAATTTGACCACAGCTGTTTTAACAATTGCAATAGAAGGCTGTAACTGACTATGCTTATTATTATGCAATAATAAAAATTGTTACGTTATGAATAATTTTTAGTCGTTGATCTTTTCTAAAGTTTTTATTTTACGCGAAGGCTTTAAATAAAATAAAAAAATTATAATGATCGTTTAAAATGAACACATTTTAAAAGTAAATGTTATACTTAAATATTTTTAGTAGATATGTATTTTTTATAATAAATTTAAACAAATGAAACTATTTTTCCTTGTCTTTCTAAAAATATTTTATAAGATTTTTTTTTTTAATTTACTTTAAATTATTTATAAGTTAAATTAAAATCTTCCTGTTGCAAAAGAATGATTTAATTGCTTTATTTATTTATTTCTATTTTTACAAAGAATTTAATAAAAAAAATTTATTTTTTAAACTTGACTTAAATGAAATGATTAAGAATTACTATTTTAAAAAGACTACGTTATAGGCTGGTGTCTGTGGCTTTAAATTCCAACACTTTTGTTATACACATCAAGTAACTAAGTTTTAAATTTACTAACTTGCATTTTAAGTATCCTAGAATGTAACATAAAAAGTTCCCATTCTAAAAATGGCCAGTATAGACCCTCAAAGTAACCCATTATCGTGTTTATAGTGAGATTTCGATTTTATTTGATTTAGAATAAAATATTTTGCAGAATCGAGTTTTACTCTGATTTTGCCGTCTAAAACCATTCTGTATTATAATTTAATTGTTACATGATCTATTCAAAATAACATTTAATAATACAACATTCAAAATAACATTTAATAATACAACATATATATATATTTCTTTATGCTTACCTTAATCCATACAGCTTTTTTAGAAAAAAAAGAAAAAAAAACGAAGAATGATGAATGAAACAATTGCTGCCCCATCCCAAACCCTCAGTTGATGTAGCAGCACTGCGAGTCAGATTATTTATCAGTCAATGTATGTACTATGCCCCCAGCAGCAGGCTATTTCAGTATGACGTCAGATTGCTTACCTTAGTATGCAATACTATTTTTATATATATATATATATATATATATATATATATATATATATATATATATATATATATATATATATATATATATATATATATATATATATATTTCTATATCCTTTAAATCTTTAAAATCTTTTAAAGTTGTCTCAATTCTAGTTTATTTCCTGAATATGAGTCAACCATTAATGAGTACAAAGATGCTTATGTTAAAGTTGGTCTATGGAGCGTCACCTAAAGTGCATGCTGTTATCAAGCATACTATAATTTTTTGCAAAACATTTTTATTTGATACTAGTATCAATATTAGAAAATGTAAAGTTTGAACCATCTCTAGAAGTTACCTATCTTGAACACAAAAAATCCATGACCTGCGTGTTTAACCCTGTTCAAAGTATTGTGGTTTCAAAAAACCGTTTCTGGTGGAGTTTTTTTTTTCAAATAAATTATTTCTGCTATGGTGTGCCTCCGAAATAAAGTACTTAAATGCTTTTAAAACTTTAGATGATTCAATACTACCATCTGATGAACTAGTAAATATATTGAAAACATATGTCTGTGACTTAGACGGGGCTGAACAAGAAGAACATATTTAAGTTTGGTAAATTCAGCGAGGAAGTGTTACAACCAAATAAAGATTCACTTGTTCTACACATTAATAAAGCTAATTATGAAGCTTTTATCAAAAAACAATCACATGTAGCAGTGAACAACCCACCAAGTCTTTTGGGAATGGTTGGTTTAATGATCAAGTTTCAATTACCATATTTTGGTTAGAATTGCCTGCTGCACCAACGGCATTTGATTTTGTTCACTGTTATTGCCGTGATTGTTCCAATAGAAGATGTTTTTGTAATAAAGCTTGTGTAATTAACCCAGATCTTTGCAAATGTAAACCATGGTGATAACCATCAAGAAGTGAATGATGATAACCAATCAGATGAATCATCTGAGTCTGAATAACCAATCAGATAAATCATCTGAGTCGATAATGATTAGATTAGAACTTTGATTAGATTAATAAAATGTAGAAAAAATAATCTATTATTTAATATTTTTTGATTTTAAACTGCAAGATAAACATCAGCCACAGTAGTATATACATTAAAGGAATATATATAGGAAATTTGGTTAATAATATTTCTGTTTTAATTACAGTTCTCTTTTAAAACATTGCATAAAAATGGCAAATGGCAAGTCTACTAATAAAAAGGTCTAGAACCTAAGTTACCTCTATCAAAAAGCATTCAAACTTTAAGGTACTTTTGTTAGTTAACTAAAGAATATACAAACTAAATTTGAAATCAAAATTATTATTTGGGCGTAATTAAGAAAAAAAAGAAAGTCATTTTTATTTTTCTAATAGAAACTGTCCTGGTTAAAATTATCAGATGGTTTCTATATACACCATAACTTGGACTTGAATCTGTTTATTGGGACCATGAAAATCTGGGAACTTTTATTTTTTGTGATTAGTTTGTTTAGATATTCAAGAAAACTTTCTCGAAAATTTAGTTACTAAATGTGTATAACAAATGTCTATTATTATTTAAAAATAGACACCGGCCTATTATTATTTAAAAAAAATCTTTTGTAACATTTTGGAAAAAATGTTTATAGAATTTAAAAATATTTTTTTTCTTTTCAATAATTTAATTTCACTTTTCAAAAATTTAAATGAAACTTGTTCATTTATTAAACAATCATTAGAAGTAATTTATAAAGTTTTGCATAACTTGAATAAAATTTCTCAAAAGATAAGTTTTAAAATAATTCATTTCAAATGCAATTAAAAATGTAACAAAAGTAATTTTTGCTTTGAGTTTAAATTTTTTGAGTTTTATTTTAAAGCTTATATATTTTCTTTTTCATAAGGAAATGTTTTCTTTTTTCTCTAGTTTATTTAATTTTTTTTTCCTAGTTTAAGTTTAACTTAAACTGAGAAAAACTTAAACTTAGCTTTTATTTTTTCAGCGCATTTCTGAAATGTTTAAATAATCAAAACATTTAAGCAGTTGTGGTCAAGTTGTCAACAAAAAAAATCATTTGCATGGTCATCAATAGGGTTTGATCGCATGCCATTCCTTTCCAAGCCTGATTATATAGTCACATGATATGAGTTCTATTTGTTTCTATGCTACTTTTTGTACACTTCTTATTTCTTTACCACTTTCTTGTTTTCATGCCACTACATTTATTAATTTTGTTTATAGTGACATGAACTACAAATAGCTGAACAATGAAGGATTATGGGTTATGGATTATGGAATTAGATTATGGAAATTGATTTCTTAATGCAATTAAATATCTGTAGAAAAAGAGATTTCTAGGGATAGATCCATATAGAATTAATGAACTTTTGATGTTGTTACAAAAAATTTTGATGTTATATTTTGATAATATTATCGATAATATTCACCTAAATAGAGAAAAACTCAAAATTTAAAATTTTCACAAAATTTTCAGTAGATGCTTGTTACACTAAAACTCTTTTATGAATCATTATTTCATTTTATATAAATCATTATGATTGTGGCTTTTATATCTACAAATTTTAATATAAAATTTATTAAAGTTTTTGAACTTTTAAATATTTAAGTGTGGCTTTAATAAACTTTTATATTCAAAAATATAAATCAACTTTTAAATAAAAATAATACTTACATTAAGATTAACTATCAAAAATAAACAAAAGTAAAATATTATTAAACTTTATTCATTAAATAAAGAACAAGCATTAAATCATTTATCGACTTGTGCTTGTTCTTTATTTGTTTACTTGTGCATTTATCAAAAATTTGTTTTCCTTAGTGTTCATAGATAGTAAACAAACCCACACACAACTACACAATAGAAAAAGGAGATAATACACATCATCAGCTACAAACTACTACTACTTAATGTGATTTTAATATGCATGTTTTTGACAACCTCGAAGTCAAACAAGTTGATTTGGTAGCATCAAAAGCAAACATAATAGTCGAAAATTTGTTTAGAAGTGCTTTTAAAGAAAAAATATCTTAAACTTAATAAAAGTATAATAATTGTGCTGAAATATGTTTTGAATGAATGACATTGCAGTGCTGATTATTTTTTGAATGAATGACCTTGTGTTTTTGTGGGTTTTTTTCACTAAGTTTAAGTTTTTAAACAAGTTCAAATTTTTTTTCTATCTACATAAGTTCAAATTTTTAAATTAAAATTAGTCACCCTATCTGAGATGACCTGAGAAGGTAATAAAATTCTAAGTGTGGTTTAACATAAGTAGTATAGAGTACTTTTCAAAACAGCATACCTCTGCTCAGAGATACGCTGCTTTGCTCTGCTCAGTGGCATGCTGCTTTGCTCTGCTCATAGGTATGCTGCTTCGAAAAGTACTCTATACTACTTATGTTAGACCACACTTAGAATTTGTCACCCTCTCAGGCCATCTCAGATAGGGTGACTAGAAATCAGACATAAAAAGACTCTTATATAATTTTAATTTGAAAATTTGAACTTATATAGAAAGAAAAAAAATTTGTATAGAAACTTAAACTTAGTGAAAAAAAAACAAAAAAAACACAAGATCATTCATTTAAAAAATAATCAACACTGCAATTTCATTCATTCAAAACATTTCAGCACAATTACTATATTTTTATTAAGTTTAAAATATTTTTTCTGTTTATTTTATAATTTCAAACTATTAACATTTTGTACTTATAAAAAAAATGCAGAAAAACGTTTCACTGTATTTGTGACAAAGTTTAATATCAAGTAAAAAACTTTTTTTAACAGCAAGATAAGAGTTTATATTTCTAATAAATTATCACATAAAGATAATAAGAATTCTTATTATGGCTGCTTCTGGTTGGATTACTACATTGCATGTTTACTTTGAATTGTAATAAAAAAAACAACAAGTGTTTAAATAGTAAATAAAAAGTAAATAAACACAGATCTTTCTAACAAAACAGAATAACTTTAAAATCAAATACTTCTATCTAATATTTTAATATTAAAAAATTAGCATCCATAAACTTTTTTAATTCATTCGTTTTTCTGAAGGAAAATAATTTTCTTCAAATTAAGTTTCACAAAAAGTTGTTGTGAAAATGTGAGTCATTTTAAAAAACTATTGCTTGGTTATTAACCAGACAATAGTTCTGAAAAAGAATTTGGGCACTTTTTTTGGGTGCCCATACTTTACCAGCAGTATCAAAACAAATCTGGGATTGCCCATGACATACTTATATAATATAAGCTATAACTTTGAGTCTATACCATGATATAAGCCATAACTTTGAGTATATACAGACCTGCCACAAACCCAATAAAATATACAGGTCTGAGTCCAAGATGACTCTAGACAGCTGATGCCAATCCCCATGGATTAACAAAAACAATTTTGTTATTAGTACCTATGTAAAGGACAAACATCTATTTATCCTACACTTAATTATTTAAGTTTTATTTTGTTCTTTTCTATACAAAATGTCAATATACCTACTGCCAAAAAAAACAATGTAAAAATATCTTAGTTAACTAAGATATTAGATAAATTTATGGATAAATAAGTACATATGTTAATCACTTTTTGGTTAACATTTTTACTTATTTATATATTATATTTCATAGTTTGATTATAAGCCAGACCTGTTTTAATAACGCTGGAGCGGTATGGGCATCCTAAAAAAAAAAGCGACAAAAAAATATTTTTATTTTTTAACTTTTATTTTGCTTTTTTATTAAAAATAGAAAAAAAAAACCTGATTTTTTCTTCAGGACAATAAAAACAATTAAAAACAATTAAAAAGCAATTGCGTTTTTCAAACAATATTATATAATATTATTATATATAGATATAATATTATTATATATAGATATAATATTATTATATATAGACAATACCTATTCAAATACAAAATGTAAAGTGTAATTTTTTTTTTTTTTATTTTAATTCACCTCCTTAAGGCCGAGAAGGCCACTACAGACGAGGAGGCTACTTATTTGTGGTTATAACCCTCTATCAACTCTATAACTCCGAAACACGAACCTTGACAAGCAAGGCCGCTGTGCGGAGAAACGAGTTGAGCGCGGTACTACCAGGGACGTGGTGGGGATCGAACTCGGAACCATTCGTTTATGAAGCGAGCGCTCTACCACTACACCACTACCGCATACTACTTTGTTAACTTTACAAATATTACACTATTTAATATATGTAAATATATTATGTAATGTAAATATTGATTAAAAAATGTTTAAAGAATTTAAACATTTAAAATTATTTAAAACATTAGTAACTAATTAAATTCACTAAAATATAATTACTAGATTTACTAGTAATTACTATTCGTAAAATATAATTACTAGATATTTAAAATACTTTTAATAATTTTAAAATTAAATTTTCTAAAATATAATTACTAGATATTTAAAATACTTTTAATAATTTTAAAATTAAATTTTCTAAAATATAATTACTAGATATTTAAAATACTTTTAATAATTTTAAAATTAAATTTTCTAAAATATAATTACTAGATATTTAAAATACTTTTAATAATTACTAGAGGGCATTTCCATTTCTGTGCGTGGTTTTTTATTTTTCTTTCTTTTAGCAATTAAAAGCTGGGACTTTATTATATTTAATTTGTTCAGATAGCCTAAAATATTTTTATCATATTTTAGGCTATCTGAACAAATTAAATATACACATTTTTACAATTTTATTTTTTTGAGTAATAGTATTGCTACATTTTGAAAAATATACAATAATTTTCAAAACGCCATACTCTAGCTAGAAATAATTGATGACTGCCGTTTCTCATCAAAAATATATTAAATATGAGTCGCAGAAGTATAATATTTCACTTGAAATACTCACAAGCAATTTATTTTCATAAAAATAACTACATGAAATTGACAAATTTGCAACATCCATGTGTGACTTCAGTGCATGATTATTCATAAACTGCATTTAAACGATTGCTGTGACTCTATGATTCATAGTGCAATCCTGTAACTTTCTGGAAATCTTTACTAATGTTTAAAACATTATTTTAAAAAAAAAGTATACCGGTGAAACTTATATTGTCCGAGGAATTAAAGTTTATTTATCTTTTTCTTTTTTTTTTTTTTTTTTTTTAACATCTTCACTTCCAACAAGGCTGCAAGCAACCACTATAAGAGTTGGAAGTTACTGGAAGAGAAAAGACTAAATCTGTAGAGCAAGATAACGATTGACTGATGACTTAAAAGATTGCAAATTATATGAATCAGGAAAGCAAGATGAAGGAAGCGAATTCCAAAGAACTGATGTTCGAGGAAAAAAACTAGAAGAATAAGAGTTTTTGAAGCACTTAGGAACAGTCACAGAAAAAGGATGAGACTTAATTGAATGGCGAGTAACACGAGAATGAATTTTAGTAGATGGCACAAGGGACGCTAGCTCTTTAGAGCAGTGCCCATTATAGTATTTGTAGAAAAGAGAAAGAGAAGCAACATTACGACGATGTGACAAAGGTTGGAGATTGGCTGCCAGAGCAGGTCCAACTATGTTTACAATTCGTTTTTGCACCTTGTCTAAAAGAGAAAGAGCATCATTAGAAGATCCGCCCCAGATGTGGCAACAGTATTCCATACAGGGACGGATTTGAGATTTATAGAGATAGAGAATAGAATCTGGAGTAAGAAAGTGTCGAGCTCGAAAAAGAGATGCAACCTTAGCAGATGCTAATTTTGCAATGGATTTGATATACGGTTTAAAAGAAAGATCAGAAGTAAGAGTTAAACCTAGAAGATGAATGGTAGATGACTCATCTAGTACATTACCATTCATAAATATAGGAAGATCTAAATTATTACGATAACGATTGGCCGAATAAAATTGGGTTTTATCTGAATTAAAGTTCACCAGCCACTGTGAGCCCCATGCTGTAGCAGAAGTGAGATCCTTTTCAAGCTCAGATACCTCCTCCAAGCAATCAGAGAGTGTAGGCTTCTTATCATGACAAGAGTAAATGGTAGTGTCGTCAGCGAATAATGCCACCTTAGATGTGAGAATATCTGGAAGATCGTTAATGTAAATTAAAAAGAGTATAGGGCCAAGGATTGAACCTTGAGGAACCCCTGAAGTTACAGGATGTGAAGAAGAGTGTTGTCCATCGAGGACAACTTTTATACTAGGATTGGAAAGAAAGGACTCAATAATCTTAAAGACGTTACCAGCTACACCATAAGAAGAAAGCTTATGGAGAAGACCAGCATGCCAAACTTTATCAAAAGCTTTAGAGATGTCAAGTGTGATAGCCTTAGCCTCTCCACCTCTATCTAATGCACGGTAAAACCTATCGGTTATTACTGTTAGCACATCAGCTGTAGAACGAGAAGACCGAAATCCATATTGATGATCAGAAAGTAAGTTATTTGATTCAAGATGAGAGATTAAGTGTTTGTTGATTAAAGATTCAAAAACCTTACTTATGACAGGAAGAAGACTAATGGGACGGTAGTTAGATGAATCAGATCGCTCTCCGGAATTTTTGAAAATAGGGATAACAGATGCTGCTTTCCAGCATGATGGAAAACAAGACTCTGATAAGCACTTGTTAAATAGTTTAGAAAGTATGGATGAAAGCTCCGGAGAACACCTCTGCAAGACTACAACAGGAATGTTGTCAGGACCACAAGCTGTTGAAGAGTCTAAGCAGGAAATTACTTTAGATACAGAAGCTGAAGTGATGCGAATGTCAAGCAAGGGATCAACCTGTTTGACGGCTATGTCAGGTAAAACGCAACTAGTGGAATCAAGAGATGATATTGATGAAAAGTTCTTAGCAAACAATTCAGCTTTGTCTTTAGGTGAGGTGACAAAGTCTGAACCATACAAGAGAGAAGGAATAACAGATTTGCCCTTATTATTGATACTGTTAAAGATTCTCCAGAAGTCTCGAGAGCCTAATTTTTGTGATGAGATACGAGATTTAATGACCTGGGAATAGCGAGCTTTGGCGTCAGACAAAACCTTTTTACAATGGTTTCTGGCGATAGTGAACAGATGTCTGTTTTCTGGAGAATTGTTTTGCTGATAGATATGGAAGTAACGGTTTCGATTAGAAATTGCTGCAGCGCAATGTGAGGAAAACCAAGGAGAAGAGTGAGGCTTGACCTGGAATCGTCGAGAGGGAATAAAAGATTCCATGCCAGCCTGAATCCACGAAGTTATGTAAGAAGCACATTTGTCAGCAGGAAGACGGAAGATTTCTACCCAAGGGCCATCACGAAGAAAATCACGGAAAGAGTCCCAGTCAGCTTTAAGGTAGTTGTATGTGGTACGATGATAGGGAGATTCTGATGAAGTAGAAGAATTTGATAATAGTTTTAGAGAGATCAAACCATGATCAGAAGTACCTAAGGGTGAATGTGGAGAAATTGAGCACTGACTAGGATCCAAAACAAGACATAAGTCGAGTAGAGAAGGTAAATGATTAGGGTTGTCTGGAAAACGAGTTGGAAAGTTGACTATTTGAGTTAGAGATTGAGAAAGGCAAAAGTTGAGGGCCTTACCGCCAGCAGAGTCACTGACACTAGAGCCAAGCCAATCGGTGTGATGGGCATTAAAGTCACCAACAACAACGATATTGGCCGATGGATAAAGAGAGAGGGCTTGGTCAATTTGATCAGAAATAACATCAAGAATAGTGCAATCTTGGGATGAAGGAGAGCGATATAGAACAAAGAGAAAGGCGATAGAGTGAAGTTGTGCTAAACGAAAGCACATAAATGAATAGTCTGTAGATTCAAACCTAGTTTCACGACAAATGGGTGAGTTCTTACGAATGTAGATGCCCAGGCCAAGCATGTGATTATTGGAGTCTTTACGAATTAAAGGAAGATAACCATCAACACTAAGATCACAAGATGGGACAGCCGAACTCAAATTAGTCTCACAAAGAGCAAGTAGGTCTGGTGAACTTTGCAAGAGATAAGACTCAACAGAAGAAAAGTTACTTCGAAGACCACGAATATTAGTAAATGATAGGTTTAGAGAACTTGGTGATGACGATGGTTTTTTGTGTTTTTTAGTTTTAGGTACTTTAGTCATTTTAAATTTATAAAGAACTTGACTCAAGTATAGATAGTACTCAGTACACTATTTAACAACTAAGCAATAGCCTCATTACTATTAATAAACCCTAAGCCGTAACAAAGGGCTCCAAATGTGGCCTCTGCAATGCACACCAAAAGTACAAACAGGGACACCATCCATGCGCAACATGGCACTGTTAGTACTCTGATATTTTTCGGCTGTTGATGGAATCAGCCTCTCTGAGAGCTACCACAGAGTTCGGGAAACCTGACTACCAGCCGGCCTCAGAACCATAAAACTGAGTTTTAGAGCTGTACCCTCATTAGGAGATAATAGAATGAGTTGCCCAGTCATAAAAATAGAGACACAAGCAATACCCACGCATTGAGTCAAGAAGATCCAGCGTTCAACATCCTAAACTGGAAACAATGTATTAAAAATACATCTGCGCCAGCCTAATAGATGAGGAAGGGGTGCGAGGCTGGTCAACAGATAGAATCTGTTTACCCCTTAAACCCCTTATCTAGTAACTAAAATAAAAGTTTTTCTGTTCCGTGCGTGATTCCATTTCAAACTTTATTTATTCTTTGTTAAC